CCAACCTGGCCTTGGGCACTGCCAGGGATCCAGGGGCAGCCACAGCAAATCTGGGAATTCCAGCCCAGCCAGGAATTCCCAATTCCCAACATCCCATCCATCCCTGCCCTCTGGCACTGGGAGCCATTCCCTGGGTCCTGTCCCTCCATCCCTTGTCCCCAGTCCCTCTCCAGCTCTCCTGGAGCCCCTTTAGGCTTGGAAGGGGCTCTGAGTTCAGACCAAGATCCTTCAAGGACTTTTAGAAGGAATTTCCCGTGCTGAGGAGTGACAGGTCCCAAGCACAGCCCTGCCGGTGCCATTCCCACCTCGTCCCGTTTTTATTGTGCCATTTTCAAAGCCATTCCCTTCACATTAAACTCTAGTGGGGAAATCTGGCTCATCTTAAAATATTCTCCTGCTTTATGTGGTTTAAATTGTCCCTCGGGCTCTCTCAGCCCATCACAACGAGGTGGTTTTTGCCCCATTTTTGCTCTGGCTATTGTTCAAATGTGCAGTTTTCAATCTGCTGCCCCTGTTAACGTGTGCTCCTGGCTGCAGCAGGGATTTGCTGAATTTCTCCACACCTGCAGTAATTCCTGCTATTTTATTGTGTGCACTTCCAAAGGGGGAAAAAAAATTCACCCTGCACCACGTTCATTTGGTTGGATTAATTAAATAATATCTGTGTGGCTGGCACTTCCAGAAATGGAATAAATGGATGTTGTCTTGTTTGGGATATTGAAAATATTCCTTGAAAGGTTTCCATCATGTTTTCCCTTTATTTTACAAATCATGTTTCCAGGGACAAATTCCCCCCTCGGGACTGAAGGCTGAACCTCCTCAGATTTTGTACAAAGTTTCACCAGTTTGGAGATGTTTTCCAGCACTGTCCCACTGGATTTTCATTTTCATGGAAAACAGGGCTTTGGAAACCCAGGGGCTTCATGCAGGGGAAAAATGAGTCCCAGGAATGACACGGTAGGGGATGGAAGGGAAAACTTTCTCAGGATGTTTGATAATTCCAAGGTGTTCCTGCATTTGTCTGTGCTGGGTGATGAGGACCCAATCCCAAGGATTTCCCCTTGGATTTTCCAGGTTTTTACCTGTACATTGAGATGTCCCAGGTGTCTGTGGCCTCATCCCAAGGATTTCTCTTTGGATTTTTCCAGGTTTTTCAGTGTACATTGAGACATCTTGGATGTTG